CGTAGAATGCAAATGCCTATTATTTCGAGAATATATAGTACACCAAAAATTTTTCAAACTATACAGTATCTTAACAACTACCAGCCCAATTAAAGTTTTTTTTTTATTTAAATTTTGTGAATCAAAACTTACTAAATTTGACCTGATGATTGTCAAAATACCTTCACTCAAAATTTAAAAAAGAAAAAACATCTATCAAAATAGAAGTTAAGCCAAACTTTGAGCAAAGATACCTCAATAAACACTAGGCTAAATTCGATGAACTTTTTTTTTATCTGAAGTTTGCAAATATGTAAAATTAGCCAAATGATCTTCGAGGTTCATTTACTTAAAATTTAACGTTAAAAAAAAAATTGGGAAGTATCAATTCGCTAAAGAAAATAACTAAAAAGATAAGAAACAGAAAAAGAAACCAAAAATTAGATGATTTTATTACAGTATTATAAAATCGTCAAAATTTATTTGTTATGGCAATAAAGCAAAATAGCATTATTTCAATATATATGATCGTTATTTGCACACATGTAATTATAATATTTTATTGCCATTGAATTTCCAATCACATAAAGCATTAAGGAAAAGTTTTGTCATTCCATCCGCATTTATGTTCCCCAGGATCTTTAAAATAGAAATAACCTCGGGTAGATTCCACACCTAACTCCTTTTTGAAAACATCCGCAAATTTTTTTGACATTTCTTGGTTGTTTAATAAATCAGAAAACCCGTTTCTCGAATGGATTCTAATCATGTACGTGGGAGCCGTCGTTCCAGCAAACATCATGGGCACCTCATCCTCGAGAATGATTTGTATAAACTCTTTGGGTTTGTTAAGAATTTTTACGCTCGCTTCGGTAACGTTACAGAAGAATTCGTCTGTATTATTCACCTATTATAAGATAAGTATTGGTGTTCAATTGTTCCAATTATAGTCCAATTAATGACATTTGTATGTATAATCTGTCCAGTTGGCAACGTTGTTGAATATCAAAGAAAATATGAATTGCCATGTTACCTTTACGTTTGTTTTTACTTCAATAGTTGGCATGTCGTTGTTGATAAATTGCGAAATTGACGAAATTGAAGACGACTTTCAAAAATCAAAGCTTTTTATAGATGTGATCATTTTTAACTCCGAATCATGTGATCCAACTTCGTCAATGAACAATCCGAAGAAGGAAATTATAACAAAAACGTAAATACGCACATGAAATCAAGAGACATACGTAGCGATAGGGTAAATAAATGGCAATAGTTGAAGAACGAACGAGTTATGTATGCAACATTGTATTTTTGCATTTCCGACACTTTAATTAGTGCCTCAAGATCGATTAGATACGTAGTCGCATTCCTTTATTTTTTCTTTTGTCTTTTACACATGTTGGGATAAGTATACGCCCCAAATTTTTTGTATCAAGATCATCTAAACTTTGTTCTAGATTTTTTCAAATTCGGAATTGTAACCTTCAAGTTTAAAATAAGCTACTTATTTAAACTTATGTGATCTAAAGCCATTACCCAGGTTGAAAATATGTTCAAAATTGGTGTTATCAGAATTCTCGTGAGAACATTGTTATGAATTTGTGTACAGTATAAATTTTTTACAGTTTACTGTTAAAAATTTTTTGTGAACAATAAAATAATAAGTGTTCTCATTTAGAATATGTATTTTCTAATATAAGCTAATATAAGTTGGTCGATTTATTTTATTTTATTTTTTGTGAATATAAAACCATATTTTGAGAAGATTTATAGCTATTTACTGTTTCATTAGAACAGCATTTGTGTCTGAAATTTCGAACACCAATAGCAGAGCTGAACTTTTTGAAACTATATCATTGTGTGTTTTGAATTGGATGAAAACAGTTCATGAGCAGGGATCCTGGTACATTGATTTTATCAAATTTTTCACTATTCTAGTTTTATTTCACCGGCATCTTTACTCATGAACTTTAAATTAAAGTTTAATTAAAAAATATTAACTATATATATTAAAGGGCACAAATAATTTAGTGTTATTGAATTACTAAATTAATAATACGTATATACGTAGATTTTCTTTATTCTTTTTTTTTTTCTTACTATAGTACAGTGTTGTTGACTGGAAGCTGAAACTTCACTGGACGTCCAGATATTTCCAGTGTTCCAATGGTTCCAGTAAAGTTTTGACTGGAAGGGAGATTATTTTCACTGAAATCGATATAATATTAGCAAATAGGAATACGAATAAGAATTAAGGTTATTATATACACGTGATATACCTGATAGCCAATCAGTTGCAAGCATACCTTTTATTTTACCACGTACGTACGTAGTAAGTCGAAGGTTAGAAATTCTAACTTTTAATTCTAATAGTTAAATTTTATTTATAAATTTAAATATATACTATAGTCAAGATTTTAATACAGGTTAATATCAACCTCGTTGATATCAACCTAAGCCACAAAACAAATTTTAATAAATTTTTATATATCAAAATTCCCTCATATATATCAAATTTCTCGTTAATATCACTATCAACATGATTTAAACCCAATTCAAATAGGTTGATATTAACGAGGGTAACCTGTACCAAGCTCATCAATTACATTCGAATCGCTTGAAATCACAACTCAACGTAGAATTAACTTTCCTTAACAAACTAACCAGTATAAACATCAACAAAAAAAATTTGAATCTAATTTCGCTATCATGCAAAATACATAAAAATAAAAATCAAATAAAAATAAACTCACTTAAATCACCTGATAAAATAAATCTGATTAGCGAAATATTATTCTGATCTTGATAAGCAGAAAAAAAAAAGACCTCGAAAATACTATACTACTATAACAAAGTATATAAATAAATTAAGATTAGCGTTCTTTTCGGAACCTTATCAAGAACGATGATTTTTTTTTCTGCCTATCACATCTTTGTTTGTGTAATAGCAAATATTTTTACGTATAGCATGCTGAATTTAGATTATCAAATCTGGGTATTCTTGACAGTCACGGGACAACTTGCATAATGTCGCTTAGAATCATATACATACTGGTACGCATAAGCAAAACGTTAATAACGATTTATCAGTTATTACTAATATTTTAGTATGTTTTAGTAAACTTTATTATAACAATATTTAACGATGATTTTTAGACTTTGCGAATATTTTTATAAGTAATTTTAAAGATTTTTTATTTATTTATTGTTTTACATTATAAAATTTTACACTTGAAAAATTTATTATTATTTATTTTTAAACATTAACTTTATTAACTTTATTAAAAAATATATACAAATCGAAAATAAAATAAATAAAAAAAAAAAAAAAAAGAGATACTTAGTTTCGGAGAATATATCTCCTACTTATCCCAACCACCACGTAAAGGTGTATCTCAAGGTTGGGAAGGCGAACCCCAACCAATCTCTCATCTCAGTACTTGTCGTGGCTCGGTTCCCGAGTGAGCAGGTTGTTTGTAGCTTTAGCTCAATTGGACTCTAGAGCTTGAGTAGAATAAATAAAATGGTATATCGAATAAAACAGTATATCAAATAAAACAGTATCAAATAAACAGTATCAAATAAATGGTATTATATGTAATGCAATATGAAAAAGTAAGAGTAAATGGTATTATATGTAATGCAATATGAAAAAGTAAGAGTAAATTGATAAGAATAAGAAGTAGCGAAAAGAAAAAAAGACACTCTTATATAACTATTTTTTTAACGCGTAAAAATCGAATTACGCGTAATTACCGTAATTACGCAATTTTATCGACAAAAAAAATTTCAATGATTCGTTATCAATTTCCTTAATTGGATACTAAGCAGTCGAAGACATTAGATAATATTTACATGATGAGGTTCTCTACGAACTTATTAGAATAATATTTTTAGCAAAACTGGTTTGTGTCCGGATTTGGATACTGAACCACATGAATTACTCATGTACGCAGTTAATATGTATCAGCGGTACTCATAATTTATTGTACAGTACGAATATTTAAAATAAAATATATAACATCATATTGTCCAATAGTTCATTGCATAAATATGCTACGTATATATTTTATACGTATATAATTTACATATGAAAAAAACAGATATATAATTTTATACTAATACAAGTTGTGGATTTAGGCCTTAAACACCCCAGAAAGCGAGCTTTATAGTGAAATCCGAAACTAAATTTTGTTAAAAATTACTAATTCAGTTATTTGAAACACTTATAAATTGTATTAGTTAGTTTTGAGATTTATTCTTGATCATGTCGGAGATTCGTTAGTTGCTTTTTTTTCCCTCGCTTCATTTGCTTATTACAGTTGAGAATGTTTAAATTTATACTGCATACTGTTTAAATACGTATTTTTTAGTATATACTGTACGTAGTAAATATGCATTTAGACAGTTGTTAATTGTATAAATGAATAAAATTATTTTTATTAAACTACAAGTTTTATTCTCATGTTAGAAATTAGACAGTCAAAAACGTTATGTAATACACGTTACTCTAGTTATATCGACATAAAAAAATCAAGGATATCTTAACTAGAGGCATTTCTATATTAAGTATATAGGACTAAATTTTTAAAAAATGTCATTATATTATAGCCAAATGTTGGTATAT